CCAGATAGAATGGTGATCATTAAAAAATCTGGAGACAACAGATGCTGGAGAGGATGTGGAGAAATAGGAACACTTTTACACTGCTGGTAGGAGTGTAAATTAGTTCAACCATTGTGGAAGACAGTGTGACAATTCCTCAAGGACCTAGAAATAGAAATTCCATTTGACCCAGCAATCCCATTACTGGGTATATATACAAAGGACTATAAATCATTCTACTATAAGGACACATGCACACAAATGTTCATTGCAGCACTGTTTACAATAACAAAGACCTGGAACCAACCCAGATGCCCACTGATGATAGACTGGACTGGGAAAATGTGGCACATATACACCATGTACTATTATGCAGCAATCAGAAATGATGAGTTCGTGTCCTTTGTAGGGACATGGTTGAATCTGGAGAACATCATTCTCAGCAAACTGACACAAGAACAGAAAATGAAATGCCGCATATTCTCACTCATAGGAGGGTGATAAAAAATGAGAACACATGGACACAGGGAGGGGAGTACTAAACACTGGGGTCTACTGGGGGGAAAAGGGGAGGACCAGCGATGGGGGGGAGCTGGGGAGGGATAGCCTGGGGAGAAATGCCAAATGTGGGTGAAGGGGAGAAAGGAAGCAAAACACACTGCCATGTGTATACCTATGCAACTGTCTTGCACGTTCTGCACATGTACCCCAAAACCTAAAATGCAATTAAAAAAAATAATAAAAATGTTTAAAAATTAGATGGTCACAGCTACTTAGGAGGTTGAGGTGGGAGGATCACTTGAGCCTGGGAGATTGAGGCTGTAGTGAGCTGTGACTGTGCCACTGCAGTGCAGCATGGGCAACAGAGCAAGGCCCTGTCTCGAAAAAGAAAAACAAAAAGAAATTATTTGCAACTCTACTGGACAAAAGTCTACAAGTTAATTATGCAAATTCACTAAATCTGGGGTTTTTAAGAAATGGTAAACAGTAATCAAAGTGCCTTTCCATAAATAATCTGTGGCTGGGACAGTCCCCATATGACACTGTAAGGGCATCTTACTTACCTTTTTGCCTTATTTGAAAAAAATTTTTTTTTTTTTTGAGACGGAGTTTTGCTCTTGTTACCCAGGCTGGAGTGCAATGGCGCGATCTCGGCTCACCGCAACCTCCGCCTCCTGGGTTCAGGCAATTCTCCTGCCTCAGCCTCTCGAGTAGCTGGGATTACAGGCACATGCCACCATGCCCAGCTAATTTTTTTTATATTTTTAGTAGAGACGGGGTTTCACCATGTTGACCAGGATGGTCTCGATCTCTTGACCTCGTGATCCACCTGCCTTGGCCTCCCAAAGTGCTGGGATTACAGGTGTGAGCCACCATGCTCAGCTCATCCTTGTTTATTATTATCACCATCTGTTTATGTAACTCAAACCTTGTCAAACTCTGTGTTTGGGCTGGCTCTCTGAAAAGGTATATAAAGGTGCACTGACCCACTGTTTTCCTGCAAATGGACGGGACTTATGTGGGCACTGTTCTCACAGGGTCTCCTCTATAATCAATGCTCACTCCACCTGGCTTGAAGCCAGCACCTGGAGCTCCTCATTCCACCCACTCCTGCTGTCAAGAGAGGGCACTGGCTACTTCTTGCAGTGAAGGAATTCCTCTGAGCTAGGGATGCTCTGTGCTGATTCCTTTGGGCAGCACCACTCAAGTCACCCTTGAAAACAGCTTGCCTTGGGGAGGTTGGGCTGTTTGGGAGTAGAGGGTGTGTGTGGCTCCTGCAGCCCCTCACTTTCTCAGGATCTAAAGATGGGCACCTGTGGCTCTGAGGGCAGCCAGTGGGCTTCACCTCTTTCCCAGGGCATGTACATGTCCTCATGTGACAAAGCACAATGGTGGGCACTGTGCCAGCTGACAGGCACAAGAATGTCAGTGTGAGCTCCCTGGAGAACAGTAAAAAAGAAAATATAACAAGGAAGCTCAAGGGACCATGCTGTATTCTGGAGGAGGTGGTGAGGAATTGTCAGTAAAGGAGGAATTCACTGCTTATGAGGCTGGCATGACTTTACCTTCTGTCTCCTCTGGTAGCCCATGCTGGGCACGAGAATAGCCTTTGCCCTGGGGTTGAGGATTCTCCCACTCGCCCCTCCAGAATTCCGTGAGATGACCTCATGGTGAGGGCTGCTGTACAGCAAGGAGACTATGTAACGGGGCATGTTCTCCACTGTCCATATGATGGCAGTGGCTGCTGCTATCATGCCAGCTGCAGCAGGAATGCCTGGCTGGGGCTGCATACTTTGTGGAGCCAGTAAGAGCTCTGCCCCTTCTGGGTTGTAGAGGAATCTCCCCAGGTGACGCTGTGGCCACCCAAACTCCTCTACAGAGCAGGCAGGATTTTCACCCTCCTGGGTGGGGCTACAGCCACCCAAACTGCAGCTGTGGATCTGAGCCTCCCTGAGCTCTTGGGTGGGAGCCAGGGGCAGGCAGGATCTGCCCATGTGCATGGAGCTGCAGCTGCCTGACCCACAACTGCAGACCTTGGCCTCCTGCTCCACAGAGGAGGCAGGACCCGGGGGACAAGCAGGAGCTTTGCCCCTTGTGAGTTGGTGGGGCAGGAGGTCTCTGGTGCAGCTGTGGCCACCCTCCCAGGAGCAGGACCCCAGCATCTCTGCAGCCTGCACCACCAGGGCCTGGGAAGAACCACTCCACATCCAACCTCCCAACCTCCATCCCTTCAGGCCCAGGGGTGTCTGCTCCCCACTGACTGGCCTCTCTCTGCACCCCATCTCAGAGTGGGGTTGGGGCCTAGCCCAGGGGCCACGAATGGCAGTGGGAAACAGACAGAGTCCCTGGAGGAAGAAGGCAGGTCCCCAGTAAGTCCTCACCTTCAGGCTAGGGAGAACCCGAAGGCTGGAGTCTGGGCTGCCAGTCCCTTGGACTGGAGTGGCGACTTGTGGTGTCTCCTCTGGCTGCCCAGGGACCAGTCGGCATGCACTTACTCCCCTCTAAGGTGCATAAAAACCCCAGGCTCCACCAGAGCAGGGCAGAGGATGGAGAAACAATGGGATGGCCAGCTGCAGGGAGGAGCTACCTTCTCTGCTGAGAGCTTAGAGACCTCCAGAGATGTTCAGAACAACCTGCCTGTGGATAGGAGCCACTCTCTCCAGAGCCTTCTCTCTGCTGAGAGCAGCTGGTAGCTGTAAGACCAGTGGGCAGAGAGGAGCTACCCTCTCCAGGGTCTTTTCTGCTGAGAGCTGAACACTCAATGGGAGGGGAGGACTTACGTACAGAGAGGAGCCACCCACTGCAGATCACCTCTGAGCTGTTCTAACATTCAGTAAAGCTCCTCTTCATTTTCTTCACTCCTCACTTGTCTGTGTACCTCATGACCTCATTCTTCCTGGAGGCAGGACAAGAACTCAGGTGCCACAGAGGTTTCCAAAAAGTAAATTCACACCCGTAAGATCCCACACAAGAGTAGATGAGGGTCCATGCTTTCCAGTGGCACTTGTAGCCCACCAGGGGTTCAGCACCTATCTTCCTTTTGGATCTGAGTCTTTATGTGTTTACTGGGTTTTTGAATGGGAGGTTCAGCTGGCAGGGCACAGCCGCTGTCTACATCTTCCTGCTGAATGATGCACCTGACATGCAGGCAGTGGTGACAGGTGGTATCCCCCTCTCACATCCCACCAGGGCTGTGTCTGGCAGTCACAGAAGTGGATTATGCCCATTTCTCTCTCTCTTTGCATTCCTGTTGTGAAAATCTTGCCTCTCCCCAGGTGATTCTCAGCATGAAGGAATCCAGCTTAAGGGCCATGAAAAGCTTAGGACACGTTCTCATTTTTGAGCAGCCCCTCTCTACAAGTGTAATTTTTCTTCTCTTCCACTTCCCCATGTGGCATGCAATGTCCTCTACAATGTGATCCCATCTATTTCTAATCAGCCTTCCCTTCCACTAGTGAGCTCCATACTGGCCTGACCAGCCCCTAGCCTTTTCCTACCTCCTTTGTGCTAATCCCCTTGCTCCACAAAAAGTGTCTGTCCCCTCAAGGTCCATGAAGAGTGTCTGTCCCCTCAGGCTGCCCCATTGCTTCTCTGATCCTACTGTTTATGCAGCATCCACTTTAAGTATACCCTGTCCCTGAGGCCTCCTCTGTCTCCTCAGGCCCAGGGAACTGCACCCACTGTTTGAGCTCACTGTTCAGCCCCCTTGCTGTCCCAGGGACATCTTTTCACACTAACAAACCTGGGTGCCTGGCCTACCAGCCTGTCTGAGCAGTCACCTCCAGGCCTATGCCTGTAGCTCACTGGCTCCTGTCTGCCACCATGAAGAGCCCTGCCCCCAGCACAGGCCCCTCTCCTAACACAGGCACTTCTGCAAATCCCTGGGTGTCCTAAATGTGCTTGAGCTACTCTGTGCCTCAGTTCTGGCCTGTTGCCTGGGGAGGATGTCAGTGCGGGCTCTGGCTGGGTAGCTAGTGTCTCAGTCCACTGATGCTCAAGGTACACCATGGCCTACAGTAAAATGGGGTGGGCTGGGGTGGAGTGGTGGTTACTTCTTCTTTTTTGAACTCTGATTCACTAGAGAAATCCCAATCCAACACCCCCCTGCATTCCTAAATTGCACGTGAATAGGTTTTGCAGGTTGCGCTAATGACAATGCCCCCAGAACGTCTTCTTTACTGACCTTGCCCCAAGGAGAAGGTTCTGGTGGGTTAAAAATTGGGCATCCCTCACCCTTAGTTAGTGGATATTGCAGTATACTCTCTTTCACTGTTCGAGGACTGCCACTCTGCCTCCCTGGAGTCCCAGCTTCACCTGCACAGAGACCCTGCACCCAGCTGGAGCCTTTTCTCCCACTTTGAGCCTCTGCAGCTGTCACTCTTTACAAAGCTCTCAGATACCTTTCCCCTCCTTCTCTGACCCTGGAGAGACATTTTACATGGGAATTCAAGATTTTTCTCGGAGACAGGATGTGACGACTTCCTTGTTTTGTTCTATCCATCTTGGCTTTTATAGCAAAGGGCAAAGCAAATAGCATATGTCTTAGGGCAGAAGATGGGTAACTAACTCTGTCACATGTGCACTGGCCTCTGCAGCTCAGCTGCCAGTCCATGTCTAGGGAATCTTAGCATCTGGGACCAAGACACTTTATAGCAGTCATCGCCCTTTCCACAGCAGGGGAGATCACCAGGACTTATCTGCTATTTCGGACATTTTGCTGCCCCCTGCCAGGTAAGTGGCTCATTCTAGATAGCTGTCTACACTTCCAACTTTCAAAATCAGCAATAAGAAAATGATGGTGGGAGGCTTTGTGAGGGCGTACACTTAGTGACACCATTTTATTATCTGAGCCTGGCTGCAGCATGGGATGTTTCAAGTGTGGCCAAGAGGAGATGTCCATGCCCGTTCAGGTAGGCCCCATCTCAGGAGGCAGGATCCTGATACATCCCGTGCCTCCCACCAGATGAAAAAGATTTCAAGCCTCATTGCAGTTCTTTTCTTGGGGCAGTCCATCTTCCTTAGAGACTAAGAGAGTGGAAATCCTCTGTGGACCTATTGAAATCAAACCAGTGCAGGCAGTGAGCACTAGCTGGGGTCTGCCGGGTGGAAGGGCATTGCAGGGGGTGTCAGGGAGGCCAGTGGGAGAGGGCCAAAGGCCCACTGACACCTGGGGACTTGCAGCTGGGGGAATAGAGGATAGGAGATAGGCAAAATTCACTAGTCACACAGCTCACAGAAGTAGCAAAGCAAAGGCCATACTTTCAGGGATAATCTATGTACTTTGTCGCTAGAGAAGTTTTGCACTCTGGGACCCCATAGTCTCCTCAGGCCTGTGCAGAGCAACAAAATGCTTCCTGTGTCTGGGAGAGCAAGTGATGTGGCATTTGTTAATACACATGAGTTTTCCTGCCAGATTTCATAATGTGGTCATTGAAGTGATAAACTAGTCTTAAAATTATGTGAGGGGAATTCCCAAGGTTTTGCTCTGTCCACATGGAGACACTGGGATCACTCAGGACAACATCCAGCTGCAAGGCAGGCGAGGTGCTGTGGGAGGGCATGGCCTTTGGACACCACCATGTTCTAAGATGCCCTTGGGAGATCTATTTATTTGTCAGGAGGACAGTGTTAAGTTCAGGCAAATTATTATATGTGTGGAGAGAATCTGAAATATACCAGTAAAGTAAGAGTGAGAGACTGTGAGACAGGTCCAGTAGGTGGCCTCTTCACAGAAACACAGACACAAGCACATGTGTGTTTGGGAGAGCAAGTGCTCACAGTAATAAGAACTAACATGCATTGGGCACTTCCTATCTATCATGCACTTATCTATACCTCAAGTATTATTATTATATTATCATTATTACTAATGGGTCCAAATTACCTATTTGGTAATCACCACCTTGTGGGAGGACCTGTGTCACCAGCTAACACGACTGGAACATGATGCATCCAAATGGATCTTAAACACAGCCTGAGCTCCTCTTGGTTTGGAAGGCACTAGCTGGACACTGATATGCCCCTCCTGGCTTTGCTGTCATGGGAATCTAACCTGTGTAATACCAATGGAAAAGCAGGATTTATTTTGTTAAGTTATTCACTAGGGAACCAACTGAGGAGCCCTTGGTGGTCGTCATTTTGCACACAAGTAGTATCTGCCTTCCAGAGAGAGCAGCCTGAGGCTCCTGGGAGGACAGGGAGCATGTGCCCACTGGCAGAGCTCAGTCCAGCTGAAGGGTCCCTCTGTGGTTGTCCTTCTGCACACTGGGTTTTCCATCTTCCCCAAATATCCAATGTGTCCAGTCTCTTACTCCTCCCCTAGCAAAACCTCCTTACCAGGAACAGAACCTGTAATCGGTTTATACTGTAATCAAAATAGCAGAGATTGGAAAGTGTTTCTTCTTTTTTTGGGGGAGGAAGGCAGGAAGGGAGGGAAGGAGGAAGGGAGGGAGGAAGGAAGGGATGAAGGAAGGAAGGAAGGAAGGGAGGAACAGGGGAGGGAGGGAGAAAGGGAGGGAGGGAGGGAAGGGAAGGAAGGAAATCAATCAATGAGAGAGACATTGCCGATCTGGATCTAGAGTTTTACAAGTTGATTTCTTTTTTTGAGAGAAGAAAAGAAAAAAAAAAATGAGTAAAGGAGAGGAAGAAAGAGGAAGAGAAAGAGGGAGGGTGAACGGAAATATTGCTTTATTCTGAAAAAAAAATGGGTATTAATAATGGCCAATCATTGTTTCATTTAAACCTATGAGTAGGTGTGATGTGGTATTGACAAGAATGTATATTTTGTGTATTTAAAGTGGAGAGCTCTATATATATTTACTAAGTTTACTTGTTCCAGATCTGAGTTCGAGTTCTTGATATCCTTATTAATTTTTTGTCTCATTGAATCTAAGTCTCTATGTATCTGGGTGTTAGGATCGTTAGCTCTTGTTGTTGCATTGATCCTTTTACCACTGTATTTTTGTTGCTTTGAAATCTATTTTATCTGATACGAGAATTGCAACTCCTGCTTTTTATTTATTTATTTTTGCTCTCCGTTTGGTTGGTAAAACTTTCTCCATCCCTTTGTTTTGGGTCTTTGTGTATCCTTGCATGTGAAACAGGTCTGGATGTAACATGCCGTTGGGTTTTGACTGTGTCTTTTGATTGGGGGATTTAGTTGATTTAAATTTAGGGTTACTGCCATTTGATGTTAACGGACTGTTTTATCCATTTGTTGATGTAAATTCTTCTTTATGTTGGTGCTCTTTACTTTTTGGTATATTTTTAGAAAGGCTAATACTGGTTGTTTCTTTCTGTGTGTAATGCTTCTTTCAGAAGCTCTTGTAATGTAGGCCTGGTAGTAATAAAATCTCTGAGTACTTGCTTGTTCATAAAAGATTTTATTTTTTCTTCAGTTGTGAAGCTTAGTTTGGCTGGATATGAAATTCTGGGCTGAAGGTTCTGTTCTTTGAGGATGTTGAATATTGGCCCCCACTCTCTTCTGGCTTGTAGAGTTTCTGCTGAGAGATCTGCTGTAAGTCTGATAGGCTTGCCTTTGTGGGTAACCTGACCTTTCTCTCTGGCTGCCCTTAGTATTTTCTCCTTCATTTCAACCCTGGTGAATCTAACGATTTATGTGCCTTGGGGTTGCTCTTCTTGAGGAATATCTTTGTGGTGTTCTCTGTATTACCAGGTGTTGAATATTGACCTGCTTTGCTAGTTTAGGAAAATTTTCCTGAATAATATCCTGAAGGGTATTTTCCAGCTTGGATTCATTCTCTCCATCGCATTCAGGTACACCTATCAAACGTAGGTTTGGTCTTTTCACATAATCCCACATTTCTTGGAGACTTTGCTCATTCCTTTTTATCCTTTTTTTCTCTAATCTCATCTTCTCGTTTTATTTCATTAAGTTGGACTTTGACCTCTGATATCCTTTCTTCTGCTTGAACAATTCGAGTGTTTAAACCTGTGCATACTTCTCGGAGTTCCTGTATTGTATTCTTCAGTTCCATTAATTCACTTATATTCCTCTCGAAGTTGTCTGTTCTCAATAGGATTTCGTCAAACCTTTTTTTCAAAGTTCTTAGTTTCTTTACGTTGGGCTACAACATGTTCTTTTAACTCACAGAAGTTTCTTATTATCCATTCCCTGAAGCGTGATTCTGTTACTGGGATGAGCTCGTTCTCCATCAAGCCTTGTTCCATTGTTGATGGGGAACTGTGATCATCTTTAGAGGGAGAGGCGTTCTGATTTTGAGTATTCTCAGCCTTTTTATGCTGGTTTCTTCCCATCATTGTAAATTTATCCTCCTGTCGTCTTTGAAATTACCTACTTTCAGATTAGGTCTCTTGAGTGGATGTTTAAGTTGTTAGTTCCCAGGGCCAGAACAGCGGCGTTAAGATTGATGGTGATTTTCTGCCCAGGATTCTCCTGTCTGGCTTCCTTCTTGTGTCCGTAATAGGCAACTCTGCCTTCCCGGGGTTCCAAACCTCGGTCAGCAGGGGAACCAGTCTCATTTACTCTGCGCCAAGAGCTGCCGCGCTGAGGTGCCATCACAGCCACTGCGCCGGCCTCAGGAGTCGTGCTGGGGACCCATGTGGGTCCTCCAAACCTCGGTCAGAAGGGGAGCCAGCCCTGTTTACTCTGCTCTGAGAGCTGCTGCACCGAGGTGCCAGCAAAATCACTGCGCTGGCCACAAGAGTTGTGCTGGCGACCTGTGTGGCTCCTCCACTGGGAATCTTCTGCTCCATGAGTGACCAGAATTTGTCTGAAAGTGTGGCATCCTCTAGTTCTCTGCGCTTTCACTGAGAGCTGCAATCCCGAGATGTTAGCGATTGGCCATCTTGGATCGTTCAGAAAGTGTTTCTTCAAGGAGGGCCCTTGCACTTCAAGTAAGGATCAAGCACCCTTGATCCTTAATTGGAGAGTGAGGTCAGAAAGGGCAGACTCGTGGCAGCAGACAGGGAGGAAGGTGCTGTTCAGAAGTCACTAACTTTTCTCTTCAAAAAGTTGCCAGAACATCTCTCTCTTTGATCAAAGGCTTTCAAGATGATACCCTTGAGTGTTGGGAGCAACGGGACCAGGTACATTTTCCTCCTGACTGAGAAGATGCTCTTGACAAAGTCTTAGGGAGACTTCGGTTTTAAGTTGCTTTATCTGGCAGTGGAATTTAAAATTTTTTATTCACTAGTTGGTTGGTTGGCTGCTGGTTTTGTGGCTAGCACCCTGTGAGCTGGTCACTTCTTCAGTGCCTCTGTGTGATGGCAGGTTAGGGTGTGGTCTGTGACCAACTGGTTCCTGACATGGTCATGGTTTTGGGTAACAGGAGTGACTGAAGAATGTACCCAGACACACAATACAGCTGGTGAGGAATCAATCTGAGCAGCACAGAGCAAGGCTTTGGAACCAGAGAGTGGGGGTGGAACCTCACCCTACCACCTACCCACTGTGTGTGCAGGAGCAAGTCATTCAGCTCCTGGGCCTCCAATTCCTTATCTGTAACTTGGACCTATTAGTAATAATGATAATAATACTTGAGGTATAGGTAAGTGATTAATAGATGGAAGTGCCCAATGCACGTTAGTTCTTATTACTGTGAGCGCATACATGTGTGCTTGTGTCTGTGCTCTTTCTAGGAGGCTAGCTATAGGACCTGTCTCATGCCCCATCACTGCCTTATGGGAGGACCCATGTCACCACCTAATGCAAACTCAACTAATTCCCCAGAATTATCCAACATATCCAAATGGATGCATAAATACAGCCTGAGCCCCTCTTCGTTTGGAAGGCACTAGCTGGATGCTGACATGCCCCTCCTGGCTTTGCTGTCATGGGACTCTAACCTGTGTCTAGAAAATCCAGAACACTGGAGCATAGAGGAAAGAAGAAGGGAACAGAAGAGAGAGTGAGAAAGTGCACAGCCTGTGTAGACACCCTTTGCTAGCACCCTTCCTTGCCAGCTTCCCCACCTGTCACAGATAGACTTCCACCAGTAGCCACAGAGGGTGAGTGACTGGACTATCCAGCTGGAGCCTGGACCCTGCCCAAGGCCTCTGCCCACGCCGGTTATCATGTGAATCAAATTCCAATAACAGAGCTGTCAACATGGCCCCACTTCAGGGGGACCCCATCTCCTCTCCTTAAGACCTTCTTGAAACACATACCTGAAGCTGTCCCAACCTGTCCTCTGCTTGTCCCCTCAATTTCAGCTCTAGAAGGACAGGGCTATCAGCCCATGAGCTTCAAAGGCCAGACGCCTTCCTGTGCATTCCTGCCTTCCTGGGTCCCTCCCAGCCTACGAGTCTCTGGGGAACCTCTAGCACCTCATTAACTCACCCTGCACACCCTCTCTGAGTTTTCTGCCGCTGCATGGCCCAGCAGCTTTGAAAGTCCTTCCTCCATACCCTGCTGGTGGTGTTGCTGACAGTGTGGCCAGTGCCCTGTGGCCACAGGACACCAGAAGCACCTGCCATGCCAAGGTTTCAGAAGGAAAGCCAAGTGGTGGGGGTAGACAGGGAGACAGAGAAGCCTGGAGAGAGGAGCCCACCGCGGCCTTCCCCCACAAGGGCACCATGATGAAGTGAAAGGCAAGGGGTGCAGTCCCAGGATGAAGACTGCGTGGATGTTTGGAAGGTGGAGGGGAAGTGAGGTACTAAGTTTGATTCCAAGAGCTTCCAGCAGTCCATGGAAGTGGGCATTGTTTCTTCCATGATTCAGGCAGAGATTTAGGTCCAGCCAATTATAAAATCTGCACAAAATCTTGCACAACTAAATGCAAGAGAAATATGGAGAGTTTTGTGTATCTCCAGAGACTCACTGGCTACAACACACTCTCTGACCATGAGTCATTAGTGGGGCAAGGGAGCAGAGCATCAGGAGTGAGAGGGCAGCCCTTGTCTGGACTGGGTCTGGGCCTCCTGGGTCACAGATGGGGAAGGGGAGGCTAGATGGGATGACTCCATCACCGTGGCCCCAAAGATGCTATTGTTGTAACCAAGTGAATTAGAAGGAATGCACCACGCTCGAGTTTGCTCTGAGTTCCAAATTAAGAGTTCTTTTTTGATTTGCCAGCAACCTAGAGATGGCTAATGCTCAAAATTCTTTCAGCCCTGAGGAAGGGGCCTGATTATATATATATATTTTTTAATTTTTTATTGGATTTTAGGTTTTGGGGTACATGAGCAGAGCATGCAAGACAGTTGCGTAGGTACACACATGGCAGTGTGCTTTGCTTTCCTTCTCCCCTTCACCCACATTTGGCATTTCTCCCCAGGCTATCCCTCCCCACCTCCCCCTCCCACTGGCCCTCCCCTTTTCCCCCCAATAGACCCCAGTGTTTAGTACTCCCCTTTCTGTGTCCATGTGTTCTCATTTTTCATCACCCGCCTATGAGTGAGAATATGCGGTGTTTCATTTTCTGTTCTTGTGTCAGTTTGCTGAGGATGATGTTCTCCAGATTCATCCATGTCCCTACAGACGACACAAACTCATCATTTCTGATTGCTGCATAATATTCCGTGGTGTATATGTGCCACATTTTTCCAATCCAGTCTATTATCAATGGGCATTTGGGTTGATTCCAGGTCTTTGCTATTGTAAACAGTGCTGCACGAATGTTCATTGCAGCACTGATTATCTTTTATACCTTGATTTAGGTAGGGGAGGGAGAGCCTAGCTGAAGCAGAATTTTACAGAAGCAGAAAAGCAGGTTAGAGGAAGGGGCTGCAGGCACAGGTAGTTTCCATACAATTACCAAGAAGGGAGGCAATCAGGCTCCTTCTACACAATGATCAAAGGGAAACTTTTCTTACAATAGCAGTGGGGAGGTATGCCAAGCAGGATGCAGTTACAATGGTTACAAGTGTTAAGAACAGTACCTTCGATGCTTCTAAATGCAGCATGACCCAGTTATGCACCCAAAGGGGCTGTGGTAAGGAGGGGGAAGCCAGGTTGGAGTTTACAGCCAGAATGGAGTCAGTTATACTAGCCCAGGGTAGGTTATTACATTATGGACACAGGAACAATTACCAGCTGACCTCCTGAAGGTACAACCTGAGGTGCCGGGCCTGGAGGAAAGTGTCCCAGGAAGTTGTTGGGGCTGGCGAGTAGCTACCACATGCACTCCACTTCTGAGAGAGCAGACTCTGTGTTTGTCCTGCTGTTTGGTGGACTCAATGTTCCAGACCAAAGGGAAATGGGACAAAGGTTGGGTTGGTGGCTGTGAGGCGGGAAGAATGACAATGCATCTGAGATCTTCAGAGATTTCCCTTTGTTTGAGGAAAGTTGCTAATCCCAGAAAAGGGGGGCACTGAACCCCCACACATTGTGTGGCTCTATTCCTGGCTCTAAACAATAAGCAGCTCAGAAGCTGCTTCCTCTGGGATCCTTCGGCCTTGTCCCCTTGCAGCTCTGTGCACCTGAGCAAGGCCAGGGATTCCATTAACAGTGTCCTCTGGAAAAATTAGAAGCAGCTCTCACATCCAGCCATGGTGTAAGAGAAGCCAAGCACTGAGGCTTGTAAGGAATTTGAGAATAAGACAAAAAGAACTGCGGTCACAACAGACTTCAGGTCTGATGGACTGAGCTCCAGCTTCCCCCACCTCTGCACATCACTCCAACACCTTTTTGTCCCTCTTCAGGTGGCTCCAGCTGCTGATAAAGATGGTGGATTTCCCAGTCTCCCTGGACACCTTGAAGCCAGTATCTCTGACCAGCAGTCTTGTCTTATTCATGCACCTCCTCCTCCTTCGGCCTGGGGAGCCGAACCCAGGTATCGTATCTCTGCAGCCCAGCCAGCCAAGACAGAAGCACCTCCCGTCAGGTGCTCCCCAGGGCTAAGATCTTAGAATAGAGTACCAGGTCATGCCAGATACTAAAATTCAAAAAAGTCTTCCATCCTGGTTGTTAAAGAGCCACTACCCCTGAGCATTATCCAGCCTGTAGTGTTCTTCCACCATCTCTCTAGCCCCCAACACCTCTTGCACACTTCTCAGCACTCTGAAATCCACAGGCATCACAGGGAGCAGAGCAAGAGGGTGCCGGGAAACTCACTGGCCTGTGTTTGTGCTGAACCGTTAATAGACATTTTTTAACTCCACCCCTTGCAACACTTCTCTCATGAAAGATGCAGCCAACAGAGGGTGTAAACTAACAATTCAAAGGTGATTTTGTAATTCTCTGGACTGGAAACCAGGAATACCAGGGTGACTGAAGCATAGCCCTGGTCTTCAGCAGTCTGCGGTCAAGGGCATTGGTGGTGGATGTAGCATCAAAGACATTAGGAGCACAGCTAAGAGCAATGATTTGTTCCTGGAAAGCTGAGGAAAGCCATAGAGAGGGAATACTGTGTGAGCAGAGGCTTGCAGGATGCACATTCTGCAGGAAGATGACAGATGAGGGATAAGTTAGGGCAAGGTGTGCCCAGGGAAATAGCCAGACATTGGTGTGTGGAGAGAGATAGCTGGAGAGAATCTGAAGAGGGAAACTTGTAGAAAAGGTATTGGATGTTCACTTAGTGGGCAATGAGAAGCCTAAAATAGTGTGAGCAAAGGAAGAGAGAAAGAGCGAGCCAAGTGCAGGACAGGGAGGGTCCATGACAGGAGAGCTTTGGGATGGGGTTTTAGCTATACTTGGAAAGAAAGGAGAGGGGAGGTACAGAGGCCAGAGAGAAGAGTGAGTGCCTGTGGGGGTGGCAGGGAACTGTGCATGAGGAAGAACTGCGCAGGAGCAGCAACTCTCATGAGAACTGCAGAAAACAGGCCAGACCAAAGGGAGCACAGAGGCCCCATGAAGAAGCCTTCAAAGAGGAGGGGATCAAATGAACGACCCAGCAAATAAGTCTCAAAGGAAGGATTTGGTTGGCCTTTTTATAAGAAAACCTGTGGAGCAGGGAACCCTCATAGATGATTTTTGATACCCTTTGTAGAAGCTGCACATGTGAATTATTTTTTAAACTTGGAAAATCAGACAAGCAAAAATAAGAAAATACCTATTCTTATCATGCAGAAATTATCACCACAAACACTCTGGTGTCTCAGATATTTTTCTCTGCACATTTATACAAATACATATGATTTTTACTCAAGAAGATAGTGTACAGATTTTTTTTTGGGGGGAACTTGCTGTTTTGATCAAAGATTTCATTTTATTTAATGCCTTGGTCATATTTACATAATTGTCCCCAAAATAACATTTGTACCTGATTGGATCGAACCATTACCAGCTCAGCACCACAAATCTGGTTGTGATGTCACCTGTGTATTCATTTAATCACGTACTTACATTTTTTCATAAAACTTAATTGTTCAAGGATCCAGGCCGGTTGTCCTGTAGAGTATCTTGCCTTTTTTGTTTGCATGACTTGCTGTAGATGCCTCAGCTGTAATGGGGTGTGATAAACTTTTTTTAAAATTGGGTGAGGGCTGCTTTTTCCTGTTCTGACTTCTTATCCTAGAAAAGATCACAGTGGTAGGCCCTGCGGATCCCATTTTGGCCCTCGTCGGGGAGGAGGTGGAGTTCTCGTGCCACCTATGGCCCTACCTGGATGCACAACACATGGAGATCCGCTGGTTTCGGAGCCACACCTCAAATGTGGTGCACCTGTACTGGGAGCAGCAGGAGCTCCTGGGCAGGCAGATGGAGGCATTCCGGAACAGGACCAAGTTGGTCAAGGATGACATTACCGATGGCAGTGTGGCCCTGCAGCTTCACAGCATCATCCCCTCTGATGAGGGCATGTATGGCTGTCGCTTCCTCTCCGACAACTTCTCCGGCGAAGCTATCTGGGAGCTGGAGGTAGCAGGTGCGTGGAGTGTCCTAAGGCCCCGTAGGGCAGAGGGAGATACAGTTGCTTTGCCCAAGTAGAGGTAGAGTCACAGAGTACGTAAGAATGATGCTAATTTTTGAAAAACATTAAAGTTGATGGATAGGTCCATTCTCAGATGAACAAACAAAACAAAATTCAATTTTTTAAAACTATCAGTTCACCAAAAAATACACAAATAGCCCTTAAACTTATGAAAAAAGCTGGGCACAGTGGCTCAAGCCTGTAATCCTAGCACTTTGGTAGGTCAAGGCAAGCAGATCACATGAGCTCCAGGGTTTGAGACAAGCCCAGACAACATAGGGAGACCCCATCTCTTAGCCAGGTGTAGTGGTGTGTGCCTGTAGTCCCAGCTACTCAGGAGGGTGAAATGGAAGGATCTGGCTGCAGTGAGCTGTGATTGTGCCACTGCACTCCAGCGTATGTGACAATCTGTCTTGAAATATATATATATATATTTTTACTCTCTCTCTCTCTCTCTATATATATATATATATACATACAAATATATATGTATATATATACACTATATATAAAAATATATATATTTATTTAGTGTATATATATACACTATATATATACATACAAATATATATGTATATATAATGAGTAAAAATGTATATACATGTATATATGTATATATATAATGAGTAAAAAAATTACTCACAATGAAAGGGAAATCAAAGCTACATCAAAATGGAATTTTTGAAACTGTCAGACTAGCAAAACTTTAAAAGTTCTTCCATGTACTGTTGATAGAACTATTGAGAAGCAAGCTCTCTTGTACTGTATTAGTAGAATTTGAACTTGGGAAGCTCCAGGACAGGGGAATTTGACAATACTTAAGAGGACTAGCTGTGTGTCTATCCTCTGACACAGGAATCTCACCTCCAGGAACTTATTCCACCTCCAATACCTCCAATATGAAAAAAGCATATGTATGAGTTTAATCTTTGTAAAGCTTTTGGAAAAGAATTGCAAAATAGTGGAAACCACCTAAATGTCCAAGCATGCATAAAAGCTGAGTATGACCTATTTACGAATATTATGTGGCTGAAAAATATGACAAAGAGGTCTCTCGATGGAGGCAGAGTGATTTCTAGTATTGTTAAGAGAGAAAAGCAAAATGTAAGGTTCAATAATCTATACTTTCATGTGTAAGAACTAAGGAGACACATTGCAAAAAGAAACATAGGAAGGATAAACTAGAAATTAATGAAATTGGTTACTTACCTAGGGTGAGGTGTGATGGCAGGGAGAGGATGGAGCTTTTTTTCCTGATATACATTTCTATACAGCATTGGCATTTAAACCACATTAATGTTTTGCATATTCAAAACAATGTCAGTCCCACAAGGATGGAGAGATAAAGGAATGTGTATAATGCAGGCACTGGAGCTCTTGTGGGGATTCATGAGGGAGAGAAGAGTCACAATTCTAATGTATTAGAATTCATGGTGGTGCTATTCTACATTTTAGGGAAACTGTCCCTTGCATAATATGATTAAATGCTAGTAGCCCTTCCACACCTAATGATCCCCTTCCCATTTCCAAATGTCCCTTAGGGGCATTAGTGTCCCCACATGCTACCACTGATTCAGACTGTCATTTCCAGTCCAGGGGTGGGGAGCTTCAAGCCCACATGTGTCTTAATAGCAGTCACAGACCATGATGCTTTATGGTGACTACAAGTGGTGAACAATGGCATGAACTTTATGCATGGATTTCTCAGAAGGAACCTGATTGTTCCCACTCCTCCTGCCTCCACCAGGGCAGGGCTCAGAACCTCACTTCTCCCTTGAGGGCTCCAAGGAAGGAGGCATTCAGCTGAGGCTCAGATCCAGTGGCTGGTACCCCAAGCCTAATGCTCAGTGGAGAAACCACCAGGGACAGTGCCTGCCTCCAGAGTTTGAAGCCATCGTCCAGGATTCCCAGGGCCTGTTCAGTCTGGAAACGTCTGTCATTGTCCGAGAGGGAGCCCTCAGCAATGTGACCCTCTCCATCCAGAATCTCCTCTTGAGCCAGAAGAAAGAGTATGTGGTCCAGATAGCAGGTCAGTTGTTGTGAGCTCACACCTATCTTCCTACTCCTCACATCTACATATGCATTGGCCCAAAGGCAGTCTATAAAGTCACAATGGTACTGGGCCTGTCTGTATATAGGATGTGTTGGCCTTGGCACCTGAGAAGTCAGCAACTTGGATATTACGAACACACTAAGAACACTACTACCCAAACCGCCAGTGAGGGAGGCCCCAGAGAGCCCACATTTCTGTGCCTAAGGCTGTACACTAAAACTCATCAACTCCACTCCTCAGATGCATCATGGGAGCTTATAGATTCCTAATGCGATCTCCCAAACAGTATTTGTTTAGTTTCCACAATGTGATCCCAGTCCTCATTCCAGTGGGGGATACAGAGAATAAGCAAAAGGAGTGTGTCCTGTCACATCACGTTAGTAGGTGGTAGGTGCTGTAGAGAAAAATGAAGCAGGCTGAAAGTAGCGGGGCATGTCCATAGATTACAAAAGGCTTGTCCGGGAAGTGAGCGTGTGGGCAGCCAGCTGAAGGCAAGGTCATTATTAAAGTCTTATTATGAGGCAGCCACTGAAGGGTTTCATATTCATAGTTCTATTTTTTTTTTTTTTTTGGCGTTTTGAGGACAAACCCAACCTACAGGCCATTTTTCATATGAGTCCAAATCAGTAGCTATTTTATTATAACAGAAAAAAAACCTCACCCTTTGATATAGTTGGTCAGATACAGGCCAATGCATACATGTTCTCAAGTTAAATGATAACTTGTCTTCAAGTAGGAGGACTTGGCAACACCATTTATCACACACAGTTCTAAATCCCCTGGGAATCGGGATGGCCATCTGTGTTAGCTAACTGTCTTTAACCAAAGGAAAAATTAAGCATGTGATATGTCTGTGGCAAGCCTGTAGTTGCAACTTGGAGGAATGCACCTAAGCTAAACTCCCACGAGACAGGAATCACCACGGCAGTGCTCTCTCTTTTATGTTTACATTTCAAACAAGTGGCCCTTAAGAAAATCATTCTTGGGTTGTAAAGAATTAACACATTTTCTAAGGCAAATGAACAAAGAGAGGGGAAGAGGAGGGAGTTTCCCTTTTGCACCAGGAAAAACCCAATGTTTTCTTTTTAGTGTTTAATATAAATCTCAATTTATATTATTTATATTTATTATGAAACATATTAAACAAGTTTATATATACATTTTTAGATGGGTAAATGTTTGCATGCACAGACCTCTTTATAAATGGCAAGATTCACACTGATACTTTTGGGAAGGCATTCTGGTGGCAGGAACCACAAAGCCAGGGACGTGAGAGGGAAAGCTGTCTGTGGCTGGCAGAACAGGTGAGAGGGAAAGTCACGGCTCAGAGAGACAGCCTGCCCTGAGCCCTTACTCTTGACCCAGGCCAGTGCTTCACACACCATCTGTTGTGAGGTCCAATCCATTGTGACCCAATGTTTTTGTACCATACAGTAAAAATGCACAGCTAGAAAAACAAAGTTAAAAACCAAAGTCCACTGATGTCACTTACAAGCCAGACACAAAAGAACAAATGCTGTCTGTTTCCACTGATGTGAGATTACCTAGAGGAGTCAAATCCATAGGGATGGAGAGTATATGGAATGGAAGGTGCCAGGGCTTGGGGATGGGAAGAGGAATTACTGTTTATTGAATACTGAGTTACAGGTTTTGTTTTGTTTGTTTGTTTGCTTTTTCTTGAGATGGAGTTTCGCTCTTGTTACCCAGACTGGAGTGTAATGGTGTACTCTTGGCTCACCACAACCTCCGCCTCCCGGGTTCAAGCAATTCTCCTGCCTCATCCTCCTGAATAGCTGGGATGTGCCACCACGCTCGGCCAATTTTGCATTTTTAGTAGAGACGGGATTTCTCCCTGTTGATCAGGCTGGTCTTGAACTCCCAACCTCAGGTGATCCGCCTGTCTCGGCCTCCCAAAGTACTGGGATTACACGCATAAGCTACTGTGCCCAGCTGATTTTTAGTTTTAAAAGAGGAAAAAACTTCTGGAGCTGGGCAGTGGCGATGGCTGCAGGACATGGTGAATGCACTTAGAGCCACTGAAACTACACTTAGAAATGGTTAAGATGGGAAATGTTGTTAGGTATATTTTACTATAATTTAAAAAAAGAATAGTTTTTAAAGATCTGAGATAAAAGCACCATTTTCTAATAATTAGATGACACAGAAAGTTACTCTATTAAAACTGCCACAGAGTTTGTGAAGGGCCAGTGGGTTCGGCGCATCCCTGCCACGACTGGTGCAATCCGGTGGGCGCTGCCCTAGGCCACGTCTAGCCTGGGGGCGGGTCCTCCCTGGGGAGCCCGGAGGGAGGTGGGAGCTACAAGGCTGCGCGCACTTGGCTTCGTTTTCACTTCTTCCAAAAGCGTGGTGAGAGCCAAGGTAGAAGCCGAACGCCTTGTGGATTGGACAGTGCGGGTACATAGCAGGCTCCCACTGGGCTCCCAAAGCCAGCCCAAGCCCCTGGGATCCTCCTGCCTTCGGACGCGGGGCAGTAGTGGGGAGAAGCCGAGGGAGGGCAGCGTTGTGGCCGCAGAAGCCGCGGGCGGGGCTGGGGCGCCGGCTACCTCCGGACCCCTGTTCACCCTGCTGCGCGCAGCCGCCCACTCGGCTGAACGCCCTCCCGCCCGCGCGGCCCTGGCTCCCACCTCCAGAGCTACTGGCAGCCACTCGCACGCCAGTTTCATAGACGGCTGCGGTGGGCCCGGCAGCTTCCCCGCCCAGCCAGAGGTCACTCGAGGGCAGGCTGGTCTGGTCTTTCACTGTTTAGTGGCGCCTAAATCGAGACCGCCCCTGTGGGGTGTTTTCCAGATGTGTTTTTACCCGGAGGCTCCCGGTGGAAGAGCGCTTTCGTGGGGACCATGGCGGTGCTGCCGCCGCTGCTGGCTGTCCTCGTGGCGCTGGCGCTGGGCCTCCTCCAGAAGCAGCGGAGACGCCAAGGTACCGGCTTGGGCTGTGCTCGGGAGCAGAGGGGCGGGGAGGGGCACCCGGCCGGTCCTGGACCCTAGGGGCCACGGAGGCGCCTCCTTTCGGGACGTGGCCCGGGAAGGGGGCCTGGAAGGAGCAGGGGCCGCACACTCAGCCCTCCCCCTCCCGTTTTCCTTTCAGAAAAGCTGAAGAAGCAGGCCGAGAAGAGACAAGGTGAGCAGGGAGCAGGGCGTCCTGCGCCCACCTCCCTAAGTGCCAACCTACCTTAATCCAAAGGCCCGGGATCCCGTTACAAGGATTTATTCCAGCGCAAGGTGTCAGGGCGGCCATCCCGGAAAGCTCATCAGCGTCCGCGGTGGGGAAAGGGAAGATCGTTCATATCTGCAAAAGAGGAGGTGCTGAACAGAGTTACATTTTCCGAACAGAGGCTAGCATGCAGATGTCAGGGTTGACTGGCTACTATTGATTACACCCTCACGGCTTGCTTAACGTTCCACTGTACAGAGGGAACAGCCTCCAGGGCCTGCTGCCAGCGTCATTTCATCTAGGGTTTTCGTAAAGCCCAGGAGGAGTCAGGTTGATGCATAACACCTCAACACAAGGTCAGGAAGCCGCGATCAGGCACCAGGGAAAACAGCCTGTGTTTTGTGACCAGTGCTCAATGTTTCCCCTGGGCAAAATAAATTTGGAAGGTTCCAACATTTATTTTCACACTAGCAGAAGGGAGGGCGCTTGGTCACCCTCCTATGGAGCAGGGGAGCCGTGGGATGGGGCAGGGGGTGGGCACTTCCCCATCCCTTGCTTGGAGCCTCACTGTCCAGCCCATCGTGGGCCCCCAGACCACCGGGGACGGGAGTGCACACATCAGAGGTGAGGCCTCAGTGTTCATCCATCTGCCTCATTCCCCAACCTGAGAGACTTTCCTCTTTTTTTTATTTTTCTTCAGGGAAACTCACTGTGGAGCTGGGTAAGTTCTGGGTGTGGGGCCACAGTGCTGCCTGTCAGCCAGTGGGGTGTATCCCTGTGCCTGTGCAGTGGGAGGAGGGGCTCCCTTTGGACGGGATCAGCTGGCAACTATCTAATTCTAAACCATCCCTGGGAGACTCTAGCTCTCCACTTGCTAAGGGCTGACATGATGGCTGCCTGCCACTGTACAGCTGCCTGAGACCCTCTGGACAGACCAGGCCAGCTCCTCCCCTGCAAATTAGACAATTCTGTTAAAATTCCATCATAAACATTTACTTTCTCTGGTTCATCTTCCTAGAATATCCTTCTCTTTTTAATGCAAATGCCACTAGGAAGGGTGGCACCTTTAATTTGCACAAAGTAGGAATAATTTCTCAGATTCACTTTTCTCCCCAGAGGGACTCAGAAACTTGAAACCATGGGATATGTGTCTTTGTACAGAGGAGAGGATAGTGATGAACCCAAAGAAGGGGGAATGGAAGAAAAGGCCACCATGGTGTTGGGGTTTGGGGGCAATTCAGATGAGACTATAAGGTTGGGGAAGCTTGTCTTGCAGTCTCCGTAGTCCTTCAAGGGGAAGGAAAAAATATAGCCCTAATAAGCCATTAACACTATAGTCTGAATTATAAGTCATAACACTGTAATCTGAATGCTGTCCCAGGAGCATTTACTTTTGAAAGAACTTGACATTGGGTGGACAGATCAAAGGAATGCATTTCTAGTAACAAAATGTTGGAGTCCTTGGTATTTGGTTAGGGGAAATAATTGGGTGTGATATCCTTCCAGTCCTTTAAATAATGTACCCAGTAAGTGACCCTGAGGGTCACATAGGCTGTGCTCAGTGCCTGGACTTATTAAGGAGGTCTTCCCCAGGAAGCTTGTGATTTCAGGCAGAAAGAAAACCTGAACCCTGGGAAGGGTATGTCAGTACTAAGGTCTGGTTCCCCTTCTAGGCCCTGTGCAGATTTCCACCTTTGAAATAATATAAGATCAGGCTTAAAGTCCTGCAGATGGTCCTCCTTTTTTAGGACAATAAAGAGGCAAAGATGAAACTGTGTTTAACAATGGTTTAAGATTAGGGAAGCTCTTCCTAGGAAGATGGTTCCACCCATCTGCAGGCTGATGTTTCCTTTGTGTGTTCTGCTTGCAGAGAAGCTTCAGACAGAGCTTGGTAAGTGACCCCTCTTTGAACTATTCCCTCTCTTTCATATTTTTGCATCTGGTTCTCCCTATATCTTCTCATCTTCCAACCAGGTATGATGCCCAGGCAGGACCTCTGCTGACTGTGTGGGTAGCAGGAGAGAGGGGAGGAGATAGAGAGGTGACAGGGTGGGTGCAATATGTGATGTGTGAGTAGGGAAGCTTGAAGTCCTGATGTGTTAATTTCTTGTTTTCCCTTGGCTGTTTCAGACTGGAGACGGGCTGAAGGCCAGGCTGGTGAGTGGAATCCATCTCTCTCTGACTGTTCCTCATTTATATCTGGGCACCCCAGTCCAGCTCACCCTGATTAACTAATCAGGCTTATCATTCTGATTGCAATCCACAGCCTCACACAGCATGTATTAATCTATGTCACTGGGTAGAGGTTATACTCTGTCCTGAAGACTAAGTGTAAAGCAAACCACTAGTTCTAGTCCTGGTTACATATCAGAGTTACGTCGACTCTTGGTGTCCATCCTCCAAGATGTCCATGGTTCTGGGATGCGTGTGTTGTACATGTAAATATGTCTCTGCACAGCTCCCTCTGTTCACCCATAATGCAGACATTCTAATGTGTATATTTTGTATATATTCTTGCAAAATATGGATATTGATTTATTCATATGCATCTTAGTTCATGTAAGTGACATTCATGGCTCTGTGCTGTTCCTTGCTTTTCTCATGCATCATCATGCTTTAATATCTATTGCTGCCACTTGTGTGCATTCAGTCTGGTTCTCCTCCTTACCATGGAGCACTTCATTTTAGCCAGCCACCCTCCTGGAGTAGGTATCCAGGCTGCCTCTAACTCCACAACACAGAATGCATAATTTCCTTATGGCCCTGTGTGGAGATTTCTCTGGGGTATATAACCAGGAGGGGGATTGCTGGCCCATGGTGGGTATGTTCACTAAGTGGGGTAGTGGGATATTGTGAAGACAGTGTCATCATCCTGCCACCAGCCATGCAGGGAGGTTCCGTTGCTCACATCTCATGTGAGCCAGTTTTCTAAGGTTGCCAATTAATGAGGATAAGTGATGCCTCATTGTACTTTAGGTTTGCACACCTCTGAATGCTGAAAAGTTTGAGCATCTGTATGCATGCTACTTGGCTTTGGGGGCTTCCTCTACTGAAAATTGCCAGTTCATATCATTAACCCATTTTTCTTGTAGGATTGCTGTCTTTTATTATAAACAGGAATATTGTGTGTGTGTGTGTGCGTGTGTGTGCATGTGTGTGTGTGTGTGTGTGTGTGTGTGTGTGTATTAATCCCTTGTGGGTAAACATTGTGAATTCCTTCTTCTGTCGTGCCATCTGCCATTAGCTTTGTCCGTAGTTCCCCTTATTGAAAAGAAATTATTAATTTTGATAAAATGTAATCCATCAACTTTTTACCCTATGGTTTGTGTTTTTGAAGTTTTGTTGAAGAAGACCTTCCTCAACTTAGGTCACAAAGATATTCTCTTACACTTTCTTCTATTTGTTTTATTTATGTAACTACAAAAACCTTTCTACTATCTTTATGTTATATCTGCATCTTTAATCCATCTAAAATTTGCCATTTTATGAGGTGCTGGGTGAGAGTCCTGTGATTTTTCTCCATATAGTGAGTTGGGCTTATCAATGCCATTTACTACACCATTCTGGGGGTGCCATTGATGTGGGGAACCACCTTTGATGCATATTGCATTCCCATCTCTCTCTGAGTTTGTCCATTGGCTGCCGATTGCATCACTGTTTTTACTACTATGGCTTTTGTAGTATCTGAAAGTACAAGTTTTCCTTCTCCATTTCCACTTCCTTTTTAGGGTGAATGAACCTTTTTAAAATATAAATTTTAGGATAAATTCATAAACCTCCCCAAAGAATCCAAAAGCAGTTTTACATGGGATTGCTTTGAACTTATACATAAAGTTAGGGAAAATCAACGTTTGTAAAATTGAGATATTCCACACAAGAGCTATTGTGCTTAAAGCTTCACCAGTTATTCTGATGCAAAACCGGGGCAGGGGCAGCAAAGCCTTGCTGTAAATATATGGAACTCTGAGAATGTCTTGTGTTACTTTTGCTTTTGTGATTTGGTGATATCTTTGTTGCAAAACAGAACAAGATAAAACACAACAGAAATCCACTCAGATTGGTTCACATTAAGAAAGGAGGTATGTCAGGAAAAGACAGGGCATCTAGAGGGCATCTTGAGATGCCCAAGATGTCAGGCTCAGCTGGGCCTCTTGGGCAGAGCCTGGCCAGTCAGAGGCAGAGGCTCAGGCTCCATTTTTGTCTCTCAGGGCATCCAGGCTGCTTATAGAGTCTCTCTACCTACACACTCCATTCTCCTGCTTTTACCAGCAGAATTTCAGCCTGCATGTAGCTCTGGTTTCATCTATCAATGACAGAGTCCTCTACTGAATCTTACAGTCTCAGGAAAATACATGGTGAACCCAAAACCAGTCTGGATTCAAACCAGTTTTCATGGTGGGAATAGGGTCATTCTATCTGCAGGCCTCCCTCATGCATCTGGCACCTTTGTTAAGGTTCCAAAGTTACTGACTGAGATTTCTGAGCTTTTTTCCCCTTCTCTGTTTTGTTTCAGAGTGGAGAGCAGCCCAAAAATATGCAGGTAACTGAAGCCAGGAAACTGATTTGTGTCTTTGGTTGGCTGGATCTTAAACAGAAGGGAGGCGGAGAGATCTGAGATTAGAGGATGGGGCTTTCTAGGGGCCAAGTATGGGGCCTGCACACACAGACACACAAGCACACTTGCAAACACACCACATGACACATAAGCCTGCATGCGTATGCACATACATGTGTGCTTGCATGCACACCCATGTATGCACGCGCGCGCGCGCGCACACACACACACACACACACACACACACACACACACACACACACACGGGTGAGCTCCCAGACACATAGTTCCTCTGGGTTTCACTAGGTTTATTTCCATCTGGCTTGGGGCTATCTGCAGGTGAGAGTGCAGAGTCTGTAAGGAACCTCCCAGATCCTCTGACAGAAAAGGTCCCCTAGGTTCCCATCTGTCAAATGGGATGGGGTATTGAAGTGTGGGGCACTGGACTAGATGATCTCAAAGGTCCTTTTAAAATCCTAAAAAGAAAAAACTTTTCTGAAAGACTGTATACTAAAAAAAAAAAAATCCAAAAATTTCTGTGAAACTCTGCCCAGTGCTCTCTGATTATCTTAAGGTCACATAAGCAGGAACTAGAACCAGCCCATAGGTCCTTCGCCTTGATGGGACATGGTTCACTCCCCGCTAACCTACCTCCTTTGCTATCTCTGGTATGGAATTCAGGGACCTTCCAGTTCAGGAAAGGACAGGATTCCTTGTCACTGTCAAACACTCAGGAGTGACTTACACACACCACTTCAGTCCTGGGGAGGGGGCTTGCAGGGCTGAGGGTGAGGGTAGGAGTGAGGGTTTCATTTCACTGATTATTCCACCAAGAGAACCTAGAGGTTTATCTGCCTTGAGGAAGACACAGACGGGGCCCAGACCATCCTGGGCAGTCACTAACGCTGTGGCTCTGCGCAGTGGACGTGACTCTGGATCCAACCTCAGCGCACCCCAGCCTGGAAGTGTCGGAGGACGGCAAGAGTGTGTTTTCCCGCGGCGCGCCGCCAAGCCCCGCGCTCAGCGACCCGCAGGGGTTCTCAGAGCAGAAGTGCGTGCTGAGCCTCCAGCGCTTCTCCGCGGGCCGCCACTACTGGGAGGTGCAAGTGGGCTGCAGCAGCCGCTGGTTGCTGGGCGCCTGCCTGGCCGCAGTGCCGCGCTCGCGGCCCATGCGCCTGAGCCCGGCGGCCGGCTACTGGGTCTTGGGGCTGTGGAACGGCTGCGAGTACTTTGTCCTGGCCCCGCGCCGCGTCGCGCTCACCCTGCGCGTGCCTCCGCGGCGCGTGGGCGTCTTCCTGGACTACCAGGCGGGAAAGCTGTCCTTCTTCAACGTGTCCGACGGCTCCCACATCTTCACCTTCCACGACACCTTCTCTGGCGCACTCTGTGCGTACTTCAGGCCCAGGGCCCACGACGGCGGGGAACACCCGGATCCCCTGACCATCTGCCCCCTGCCGCTTAAAGGGACGTGCGTCCCCGAAGAGAACGACAGTGACACTTGGCTACAGCCTTATGAGCCCGCAGACTCCTCCCTGGACCCGTGGTGAGGCGCCCTTGTGGCCGCAGGGCTGAACCCAGGAGGCTCCCTGGATCCCAGGCCAGCGTTTTGCTCTCCTGCTTCCTCAAAACTGAGCAGGTGCACAGGCCAAAATGTCAGCAAAATGTCACCGAGTGGGACAAAGAGAGGGACCTTTGCCTACATAGATGTGTATGTGTAATGAGATTTTCTTCAAGGAATGGAGACAAGTCCAAAGCTTATTTGTGGATTGTAGGACTGAGTGAATGAGTACAAATACATCCACATCGCTGAGAGCCGGGGTGCCCCGCTGGGAGGTGGTGGAAAAGGCAGCATGGAAGAAAGAAGAGAGAAACCTTTGGAAACTGCAGTAGAGGGATTCGTTAATTTGTATAGTTTTATATTTTTTGTATATGGTTGCTAGCTCTAAAAAGGTCAAGACGCAATAGTAAGCAACAAGTTCACCCTAAGTAAGGCTCAGATCCTAGTTTTAAACATCATTTCCCATTAAAATGAAGTTGGAGGAACTGCTGCTTCTGTTGCCGGGGCAAAAATTTCAAGATGAGCCTGGAGCATTCATTGTGTGTGGTAAGGCAAAGTAAGTGCTCGAAAAATGAAGGGAACATGGCAAGAGGGTAGAAGAGCCAGGCTGAAGGGGCCTCACTGGCCAATTGAGGGACAATCTGAATATCAGGATGAATAATGACAGGAGAGATTTTAACATTCAAAACATAATCCATGAGTTCTTGCTGATATTCAAATTCTTTTTAAAAAGAAGAAACAGGAAGATTTTTTTTAAAGAGGTGAAATCTAATTATTGGTGTCTTTTGGAGAACAGGTATGTAAGCAGTAATCTTTCACACTACTTATAAATTTGAAAGGGTAAAATCTACCAGAGAAATCTACCAGCTCATCCAAGTGATTTAATTTAACATCACCAATGATGGGACCAAGGACATTATCAGTTTCACAACTGGGGAAAATGAAACAGGAACAAGATATCACTGGGGAAGTGTTCTTCACCCCCTGCCCCAAGAGTCTCTCTCTGTCACGCAGGCTGGAGTGCAGCCTCAACCTCCTAGGCCCAAGTGATCCTCCCACCTCAGCACACAACACCATGCCCAGATAATTTAAAATCTGTTGTAGAGACAGGGTCTCACTTTGTTCCCAGGCTGGTTTCAAACTCCTGGGCTCAAGCCATCCTCCTACCTGGGCCTCCCAAAGTGCTGGCATGAGGCACTGCACCTGGCTTCATTTTCTGAGTGAGACATTTGTACTGTAGGATAATATTCTTGTTCTTAGTAAACATACTGAAGTTTTTAGATATAAATTACCACAGGGCCTGCCACTGAATCTCCAATGACTTAAGTAGAAAAATATAAAACATAAGAATATGTAGAAAGGAGACAAGTCAAATGTAGCAAAATGACAACACTTGGTGAATCTAGGTGACTAGTCGACAGATGTTCATTGTACTGTCAGTGCAGGCTTGCTGTTTGAAATTTTTCAAACTAAAAGAGTTGGGTAGTGGGGAGAAGGATACACCAAAAAGCGAAGTGATTATGTATGGATGGGGAAATGGCAATTGTATTTTTTAAAGTCTTCCTTGTATTTTTTTTAATGTTCAGTAATGTTCATGTATTGGTTCTGTAATAAAGAGAGAAAGCTGTTTTTGAAAAAATACTCATCTTCAAAATCATTCATTTGAAAGGAACTATAATGAAATTGCTGGACAATATCTTAGGGCATTGTTTCAGAGTAAATGAATATGGCTCCCACCCCTTCCCTTAATCCAGGCGGAGCTTTCCTTGTCCATTTTGGTTGGGAGGGGGAGTGAAGAAGGGAGATGAGCCTGCAACCAAGCTTTCTAACTGGTCTTTCCCCTTCTTCCTTCTTTCCCTCTCCGTTTCTTTTTCTTTTCATGGGGACTGGCTTTTCACCAGGGCCTTTGGTACCAGAATGGGAATGGATGGGGTGGGGGAACCTCTGGGGTGGAGCTTTTGCCCCACAGGCCCAGAAGTTTGGTTACACACAAGAGAGAGCTATGAAAATAAAACAATTTACTAAGTGTGCTGAGAGTCAGGTTTCTCTATCAGTGAAGGGAAATACAAAAATACAGAAAGTGAAAAGGAAAGGATGAGAGTAACTCTGAGATGGACTGATGTGAGAAGTATCAATGTGAACCCCTGGGTTTTACTGTATGTGGAGATATGGAATGCACGCACACACATGGACACACAGATAGATGTGTGTATGCATGCAGATCATTCCCAGCTCTGTCTTCTTTGAAGGCTTAGCAACAACAATGCCTCAGTACCAGTGGGCACACCTAGCATCCAGAACTTAGTTTTTAGTACCATTTTCAGGAAAAGAAACAAAGTTTCCTTGGAGAAATGGTTGACTCCAAGGCTAGGGCAGAGAATTATAGGAAGAGCCTTCAATATCAGAAAATAAGGAAGTTGATTGGACAGAAGAGCCAAGTCGAATGAACTTCGATGTCAGTATGGATTATGAACCCCTGAATAAAATAGGAATCCATAAATATGTATATATCCCCACTGATATACATACATACATACACAAATTCACGGAGAGAAGAGAAAGCTCTGCCCTACAATAGGAGTCTCAAAATATTACTTCTTAACTCATAAGTACAAAACACTTAACAATGAACTTTACAGTGGAGGAGGCTGGCAGATGTCACCTTAGCCAAATGACAAAACTTAACATTGCTAGATGGGAAGTCAGTTTACATCATGTTCTTCCTGATACAATGCAGTGGAGAAAACAAAGGGCATCACCTTTGAGGTATTCCTGCACCCAAGAATGCGTAAATCAGGAGGAAACATCAGACAAACTGACTGTACTCCTCAAAAATGTCAAGGTCATGAAAGACAGGACAACACTAAGGAACTGCTTCAGACTAAAGGAAACTAAGGAAGCAGGATGACTAAATGGAATACGTGACCCTGGATGGGATCCTGAATCTATATAAAACATTATTGGGCCAGATAAAGTGGCTCAGGCCTCTAATCCAGGCACTTTCTGAGGCTGAGTTAGAGTGATTGCTTGAATCAAGGAGTTCTAGACCAGCCTGGGTAACATAGCAAGACCTTGTCTCTACGAGAGAGAGAGAGAAAGAGAGAGAGAGAGAGAGAGAGAGAGAGAGAGAGAGAGAGAGAGAGAGAGAGAGATTGTTGTGGGGAGGAGAAAGGCATTTTGAAAGAGGTATGTGGATTAGATAATTAATTTCCTGATTTTGATGTAGAAAAATTCCTTGTTTTAAGAAAATGCACATTTATGTATTAAGGAGTTGAGGATTACGATATTTATATCTTATTTTCATATGGCTCATTAAAACATATAGTAATATAAACAGAGAGAGAGAGAGAGAATGATAAATACAATGGTGTCTGATAAATGTTTAATAACTGGCTTTGTGAAAAAAAATACTGAGCCGATTTCCCTGGTGCACGTACTCCCACTGTGGTTGATTTCAAGCTGAAGATGTGATATCACTGAGGGCAGACTTGGAAAGTGCCTTAGTCAGTTCTGGCTTCTGTAATAAAATAGCATACACTGAGTGGCTTATAAACAACAGAAATTTATTTCTCACAGTTTTGGAGACTGGAAGTCCAAGATCAGGGTGCCAGCATAGTCAGGGCTGGCGAGGGTTCTCTTCTGCGTTGCAAATGGCTGACTTGGCCTTGTATCCTCACATGGCAGGGAGCAAGAGAATTCTCCAAGGTCTGTTTTTAGTTTTTTAGTTTTTTTTAAATTAAGACAGGGTCTTGCTATATTGCCCAGGCTGGTCTTGAACTCCTGGCCTCAAGTGATCCACCCACCTCAGCCTCTGAAAGTGCTGAGATTACAGGCATGAGCCACCTCACCTGGCCTCCTCAGGGTCTGTTTTTTTTTTGTTGTTGTTGTTTTGAGATGGAGTCTCGCTCTGTTGCCAGTCTGGAGTGCAGTGGCATGATCTCAGCTCACAGCAACCGCCCAGGTTAAGCGATTCTCCTGCTTCAGCCTCTCAAGTAGCTGGGACTACAGGTGCATGCCACCATGACCAGCTAATTTTTGTATTTTTAGCAGAGACCGGGTTTCACCATGTTGGCCAGGATGGTCTCAATCTCTTGACCTCATGATCTCCCTGCTTTGGTCTCCCAAAGTGCTTGGATTATATAAACCACCTTAACTGGCTTATAAGCATCTGTTTTTATATGGGCATTAATCCCATCATAAAGGCACTACCCTCATGACCTAATCACCTCCTACTACATTGCCTTGGGTGCTAGGATTCCGACATATGAGTGGGGCCTGGTGGAGAGGGACACATTCAGACCATAGCAGGAAGAGATACCTCTGATCAGCTCTCATGAGACGCCAGCTCATGACACCACTGCGCAGTTCCAGAGGGGGATTGTAATTTGTTTCTCTATTAGTTCAGATAACTGCATTTTAAGCTTATGAAAATATTCTTGGTCACCTGTTGAGAGAAAGCTATTCCCTTATTAATATGTGATATTCAGAAAACAGAGGTTTTATTTTTTAGTGTCATTTGTATTAGTGTGCAAATATTTTGGGTTTTTACTCATGAATGTTTTAAAAATGTATTTCCTCTCTTTGACCAATAAGCCTGGAAAAATAGAAAAAAAAGAAAGAAAAAAATATGTTTCCTCTCCACTGTAATCATTATTCCTTTAGGACTGTGTTTATATGATAAATAAGAAAAGCAAGCATATAGCTAATACAAAAAGCAATTTTAAACTGTTTTTAAATAATTAGAGGATGCCATCAGCTCACATTAAATGATGGGCAAGCTGTTGGCCCAGCTGGAATGGCATGATCTTTAAACCCCACTCCCACAGGGCTGGCAGCTGCACATGACCATGTGGTTCAACCAGCTGTCCCAAGCCCCATGCCTGGGCCCATCCTGCCCCATAGTTAGATGCGTCACAGTGAGGCATCACACCAAAGTATGCAGGGCTGCAGCTTGGAGGAGCTAAGGGTAGCTGGCATTCACAAGAAGGTGGACCAGACCATTGGCGTCTCTGTGGATCCAACACGACAGAACAAGTCCACCGAATCCCCACAGGCCAATGCACAGCAGCTAAAAGTGCACAGGTCCAAACTCATCCGCTCTCCAGGAAGCCCTTGACCCACAAGAAGGGAGATGGTTCAGCTAAAGAACTGAAGTTGACCACCAGGTTGACGACCAGTTATGCCGTTGGGAGAAGGTCTTGACATATGTGCTGGAGTATATGTTGTTTGCTGAGAGGTGATGGCAAGGAACACTGAGCCATCCCCAGGCAGAAAACTGCTAGAATAGAAAGCAATATGTACTGGTTATGCACTACTTACACCAGTTCCCAAAACACAGGAAATATGACCTTGTCCCCATTGCTGACTCGCAAAGAGTGCTTTACAGCTTATTTCTATTTTAGTAGTGAACAGGCACTATCTGCCCGTGTAGTCTATATTTATTCTATGAAAAAACACTGAGCACCTGCTTATTAAAAGTAATCACTTGTTCACAAAGAAAAAATACATGGGTCAGAGTTGGCTCTGGGCTTTCAGCTGGGAAATGCTGTCAGCCCTGACATCCCATTCTGATCCCACTTTTGCACTCTATCTTTGTTCCTGTTTCTTAATTCCTACAGCGTCACCTGGGTTAGGGCGTCCATGACCAAGCTGGTCTCAGCATTATGCCCATGTTGAAAAGAGAAAGTAAATACCTGCTGGGGGCTTGTTAACAACAACAACAAAAATAGCCAAGCCAAAAATTGAGAGAGACCTGAGACATTCAGGTACGTATTTCATGAAACATGAAGGCCATGGGGGTGGCTGCCCAGAAGGCTGGAGCATGCAGAGTAAAAACACTCATTTCCCTCTTGCAAGTGAACCTGGGCACGTGTCTACAAATAGCACATGGTGTATGTCCTTTTCCCTACTGTTCACATTTTCCATGCAGCTAACTCTCAAAAGTAGGAAAAGGGTGAATGCAGCACTTTTGTGTGCATCCCGGTCCAGTGTACAGAATACACCAGTGCTGAGTCTGGTTGGGAGGCTTTTGCTGCTGGAGCCTGCCTGAGGATGGGATGCTCACAAAGGTGGCAGCGTTATGGGATCTCTGGGGTGCTCATTTTTCTGGGATGTCGGCTGGAAACCTCTGTGGCTATGGTACTTTGCCCAAGTTCTTGTGCCTGTCCTGCATCATATATAAAGTGTGAAGAAGAGTTTTATTTAGTGTTAGAACAGCTCAGAGGAGTGGGTAGCTCCTCACAGTAGGCTGGTTGCCCATGGAGTGTTCAGCTCTCAGCAGAGAGGAGGCCGTGGAGAGGGTAGCTCCTTTCCACAGGCAAGTCATTCAGATGTCTCTGCAGGTCTCGGAAGCTCTCAGCAGAGAGGGTAGCTCCCCTCTGCTGGCAGGTCTCTGCAGTTCTCAATGGAGAGGGCACTCCTCTCCCTCTCCAGCTGGTCGTCTGCCCAGTAATCTCTCTGCCCTCTGGTTGTCCTCTGGCCTGCTCTGGTTGGTGCTGGGACTTTTATGGACCTTAGAGGGGAGGAAGTGCATTCCAATTGGTCCATGTGTGGTCATGGGCGGGCCCAGAAGAGGCACCACGAGTCCCCACTCAGGTCTGCAGGACTGGCTGCCCAGCTCCCAGCCTTCAAGGCCCTCCCTG